AGTTGGCTGATGTTAACCCATTTCCTCTTGTTTCCTCTTTCAATGGTATAAATGGGACCACGTCTCTCAGTGACAGTATATGGTCCTTCACACTACGCAAGGAGTTTCCATGAACCTGGCCGACATTTTCTTTTTTTCTACACCTTAAATAATTGCCGACCTCATAGGTTATGCATCCCATCTTTTCTCCTTGTTCTGGTTTCATGGCATCTTTCTTCTGTTTACGCCTCACATTCCTGACGGTGTCTTTCTGTTCCGTTCACAGCTTCGTCATATTTCACTCGTGGTGGAGGGGCAAGGTTGTGCTGTGTATTGGTATTCATGATTCCCTCCCATACGTCGACTGAAATGTTGTTGTTGTTCCCTTGGGTTCCTAGTGGAACATAGGGCTTCAACTGCACGTCTCCACTTGCTTCTGTCTTCTGCTGTACTTTTCACCTGCATTCATTTTAGTCCATACTGTTTCAACTCCTCTTCACACGATCTCCTCCATGTCACCCTTGGACGTCCCACTCGCCACTTCCCTTTCGGGTTCCACTCGAGCACTGGCCTGACGCGCGATGTCACCCAGCGGCCTCCTCAGCGAGTGTCCAATCCATCTCCACTTTCTCCTGCATATTTGTTGGGCGATTGGTTCTTGTTTTGTTTGTTCCCATAGTTTCTTGTTGGTTCTTGTTCTTTCCGGCCATCTGATCTTCAGTATAGAGCGAAGACAGCTGTTGATAAAGGTCTGCAACAGGCTGTTGGAAATATTCTTTGTGACCCGCCAAGTTTCTGATCCGTATAGAAGAACTGATTGACTTGACGTTTGTATTGAAAATCCGAATTTTGTTGTTGATGCAGGCTGAGTGACGAAGATTTCCAGATTGGTTTCAGGTTGATGAATGTGTTTCTCGCCTTCCCGATTCTCGATTTGACATCCTCGTCCGTTCCTCCTGTGGTTGAGACAATGCTCCCCAGATAAGTGAAAGAAGTAACCTCTTTCAAATCCCTCCCGTTGATGGTGATTGGCGCTGGATGTTGCTGTTGTTGTTGTTGTTGGTTGGTTATTTTCATAACCTCCGTCTTGTCTATGTTCACCTGCAGTCCTGTCTTTGCTGCTTCTTCGACCAGTTTGTCGGTTTTCGCTTGTAAGTCTTCGATTTTGTGTGACATCAAACATAAATCATCCGCGAAATCCAGGTCTTCTAGGTTCTTCACGTCGGTCCAGGATATCCCTGTCTTCTCGTTTCCCACTGTCTGACGCATAATCCAGTCCACCACAATTAGGAATATCATTGGTGATAATAAGCACCCTTGTCTGACTCCTGTGTTTACTCGAAACGCCTCGCTGAGTTTTCCGTTGTGGATCACTTGACATGTGCCGTTGTCGTACAGATGTTGAATAAGGTTGATGAATATTTGGGGTACGCCGTAGTACTCGAGTAGTTTCCAAATTACTTCACGGTCAACGCTGTCGAAGGCCTTCTCAAAGTCTATAAAGTTGAGGTAGAGGTTTGATTGCCATTCCATGCTTTGTTCGATGATAATGCGTAGAGTTGCAATTTGGTCAGAACATGATTTGCCTTTCCTGAACCCAGCTTGTTCTGGTTGGAGTTCTGTATCCAGTGCGTCCTTTATTCTCTCCAGGATGATGCGACTCAGGATTTTACTTGGCGTCGACAGGAGCATGATTCCTCGCCAGTTCTTGCAGAGTCCTAAGTCGCCTTTCTTTGGTAGTTTCCTCCAGTCAGTAGGCACCTTTCCCTCCTTCCAGACCTTTTGCAATAATGGAGTCAGCATATCTGCTGTCGTCTCTGGGTCCGCTTTCAGTGCTTCCGGGGGTATTCCATCTGGTCCAGCTGCTTTTCCAGCTTTCAGAAGCTTGATTGCATTCAAGACTTCAGCTTTCGTTGGAGGATTGGTGTCAACTTGCAGTTGTGTACGTGCTGTTGTTGGTATTTCTGGACAGGTTGAAATGGTGACTTCTTTGTTTTTCCTGGGTGGACGCACGATGTGCTAGTAGAATCAGCGGAAGCTCTGTCTCCCAGTTACCTCCCTTCGAGGTCAGCCACTCCTTCAGTGCACGGTTATTTCTCTCTGTCAGACTATTCGTTTGCGGATAATATTGAGTTGTTCTGATCCTCTTGATACCTAACTGTTGCAAACGTGAAGTGAATTCTTCGCTTTCAAAACAAGGGCTCTGATCTGTCAATATCGTCTTTGGTACACCGTGGTCTGCAACGATGTGTCAAACTACTGTGCTAATCGCAGTTCTCGAGCATATATCTGGGATCGCCTCGGCGTCTATCCATCCTGTATCGTGTTCCATCATCACCAAAACGTACTGATTGGCACTGGATATCTGCGGAAACGGACCCATCATATCTACGGATCACAAGTCACCTACTGCCGTAACTGGAATTGACTGCAGAGACGGTCGTGTGCACCAATCTGCTTTCATCAACTGACACTGTGCACATCCAAGTATTTTTCCACATCTGTCATACCTGGCCAGTGCATGATTTGACTCAAGAGGTTGGTTGTCCTGGCTACTCCTGTACGTGCTAGCTGGTGACATTCTTGCATCATCTCATGGCGTAGAGCCTGAGGTATTACCGCCAACCAACTTCCATCGTTCTGTCGCCAAGTCAGAGTTCCGTAGGCGTTCCTGCATAATGATCCCTTCCTGAATAGCCAGATCCATACTCGCCGTAGGTTGATTCCCTTCTATTCCATTGGTGATCGCCTGTATGACTGTATTCAGGGTAGGGTCTTATTCCTGACTACGGGTAAGTCTTAATGGGTCTTATTCCAATGCATGCTCTCTGTAAACAATCTCCGGTAACTCAGCTTCGTCTTCCGGTCTAGATAAAAAGTCTGCCAAGGAATTTTCTTTGCCAGGGACGTGTGATATCATGAAGTCATATTCCTGCAGGCGCAACATCCATCGCGACAATTTCCCACGTGGGGCCCTCCCTGTCCTCAGAAACTGTGGCGACTTGTGATCCGTTTTTATGTGAAACCCTATGGCCGAGTAAATACGCTCTCCATTTTTCTACTGCCTATACTATTACTAAACATTCTTTTTCTATCGTTGAATACTTCTGTTCTGTGTGTCATAAAACACGACTGGCATATTCGACAACTCCTTAACCCTGTCTAAGTACTGCGCCTATGCCGTAGTCACTTGCATCTGTACACACTGTGAATTGTTTTCCGGGTGCAGGCAGTTTTAGCGTCATTTTCTGGTGGTCCAGAAGCCGTTTCATGCTGTTGAATATCTTCTGAGAATATTCCGACCAGGTGGGACATGTATGCCTAATCGACCCTCGTTTTCTCCTACATATTTGTTGATGTATGGTCTCTTCGTTGGTCATTGTCAGCCAGAGTTTCTTTTTGCCAATTCTTTCTGGCCGGCTGACCAACGGCGAAGCTGGCAGCTGTTGATAAAATTCCTCAGTAGTCTGTTGGAAATGCTTTTCGTGACTGAATCACGAGCAGTGCAAGTTTCTCACCCGTATAAAAGAACTCACTGACTCTGACTGATTTCATATTTGTGTTGAGTAGAATCCGAATCTATCTAGTTCTTCATCCTGGCTGACTGAGTGAGGGAGTGAATGAAGCAGAAGATTTCCAAATTGGCGTCAGGTTGATGAAGGCTAACTGTCTGGTCGGCTTGCTTTTACATTTTCATCCTTACTGTTGGACTGCCTGCCTGCCTGTGGTTGAAACCGTGCTGGCTTCCTAGCTGACTAGATAAGTGAAGGCAGGAATTTCTCACTGTCAAATCTCACCCGCTGCTAATTTAGGAGATAGTAGAGATTTATAAAATGGTCTAGAGTGTGATTTATTGATCTCAAACTGATGTTAGCTGGTGATCAATCCTGCAAATCAATACTTGTCCGAAATTTCCTTAATTCATGATTATCGAGTTCCTGTCAAGAGCGATTCAAAGAAGGTTCTTTGTTGAATCTTTACGCCTCATCCTCTCTAAACTTGCTCACATTCACCAAGGCTTCAAAGACAAGATCCCACTGTTGGCAGCTTTAATGTGTACTTGCCAGTCGACCTGCTCATGTGTAGCCAAGTACATAGGCCATAACCTCAGGACATTATCTAGACGTGACGACGAACACTTACGAGCAAGAGTTTACTAACTAGATCATAGCAGTCATAGCAAAGTTGGGAAAGCTCTCATAAAAACTAAGACAAAGTCAGCCTGAGCTGCTCTTCTCTTCCCATTTGTCCGTGTCCATTGTTTACCTCTCAAAGGAAACTACACTGAATGTGCTGGAAATACTGCTCGTGATAACAAGAAGATTCGCACCATCCTACGCACCATCGCCATATGCAATGACGAAGAGTTACGCACGTTTCTCTGTGGGGAGAGGGCAGTGACAGTTGCGCAGGATAGAGTATCGTCTAACATCCAGGCTGTTCTCTTGCCTAATCAGTTTAAACCAACCGACTTCATGCGATTATGCCGGATTCCTTGATATCAGTCAGATTACATATTGTGTATGGTCTGACTAATTTCTGTTTCCCAAGAGAAGTTTCATGAAATTTCACCTCAAATTGTATAAACTGCAAATTTGATTTGCAAGTTGTTCGAGTCACTGATCCACTCCATCTTTGTAGGCACCTACAGCGATGATGGAAATTTGTTTTAAAAAAACCAACCAAAATCACCTTATATAGAATTAAAACCATTAGACAATCGAAGCAAGATATTTATTACAATGTGATTGGATAATTCACAAACCCGACCTTATATGTAAGCAATATCATTGGTCACTTGTTGGCCTAACTTTCCGAGGTACACAATATAACGTACTTTTGTATAATAAAGTAATAATAATAATAAAATCATTTTAAAATATTTCAGCTTGACTTTCAGTATAAATATTGTTTAATTATTTTAATAGGAAATAAGCTGTTCATATATATAGGTAGGTAGTATAGAAATCAATAATAAAAATCAATACAAACAGAAATTCAAAAGATTATAAATAATATAGTCCTAAATATAAACAATATACAAGAGATGTGGTGCACACACATTAAATGTTCAATAGGAAAATTGAAAATTGATTTAAAGGTGTTTATCATTTGCTAATCATATTCACATCAGTATTACTACTTATATTCGCGTTATCAGTAGTAAGATTATTAAGCAGTGAAAAATAATTTATATAATTTGTTAATAACTTAAAATATTCATAATAATTATTATTATTATCTGAAAAAGAAGCATTCTGTTTTGTCTGATTAGCTTGCCTATCATCATCATATAATCCATAAGATGGGAAATTTGATGCATAGTGTTGAAGTAAATGTTGCATCGTACTGGGATCATTAAGTTTTTGATGTAATAATAAATTTTGTATTAGGTCATTCATAGAATGCATAGGAAGATTATTATTATTAATATTGTTCATCTTTAAAGCGTATGCAGCAAAACAAGAATATGGGAAATTGGACATTGAATTATTGAATAATGCATTGGATGGCGCTGAAATTGAAGCATCTGTTGATAATGTTGAATTATTTGGGGAATTTGAGCTTGAAGAAGTAGAAGGAGGTGAAGAAGAAGAAGATGATGATGATATAATGATGATGATGTTGGTGAAGATGAACTTTTTATTGGATTCATTGAATAGTCAAGAATTTCTTCATTTGATGGAATATTGGTATTGTATTGGAAGAGTTTTTGATTGCATATGCCGTATTTGTTATTATTATTATTATTATTATTATTGCTGTGACAAGTAGAAGTGCTGTTCATTTCATTGTAATGATGATTGTGTAATACATTTCCAGTTTGTAGATTACAATTTAAATCTGTTGATTTTAAATCGATGAATCGAAATTTCAGCGATTTTCGATTTCGATGTGCACATTCATTGAGTAATCGTTCACATGTTTCATGAAGTAGATTTAAAGGATTTTGCGGGGGCTAGAGATTTAGAAAAAAGAATTGAAAACAAAAAAAACAAGAAGGTTTATAAAACGAAATTTATTGAAAAATTGATTTTCTCATTAACAAGCCAATTGCTAAATAAGCGTCCAAGCCAAATAAAATAGTAAGTCACGTCATCCTGGAAATCATAAAGGATGCACTTGATGCAGAACTCCATCACCCACCGAAACAAACTGGATTCAGGAAAGGCAAATCATGAGCTATCTGACAATGCCTGCCACGTGCCAGGTGATCCACAACGGAAAACTCAGCAATGCGTTCGAAGGGAATACAGGAGTAAGAGAAGGCTGGCTGTGTGTATTATCACCGATGACATTCTTAATTGTGGTGAACTGACTGGATTATGCTTCAGGCTGTGTGTGCACAGGGAGTGAGTGAGAAGACAGGAATGCGCCTCACTAATCGATAAGAAGACTCTAGAAGATCTGGATTTCGTGTGTGTGGATGATTTATGTTTAATGTCACACACACACAAACTCGAAGACTTACAGGCAGGCAGGCAGGCAGCGAAGACAGGAATGACTCCAGGTGAACATTGAGAAGGTGGAGACGGAGGTGATGGGGAACAACAAAAACAACAACCAGCACCAATCACCATCAACGGGAGGCGTTTGACACAGGTTACTTCCTGCCTTCACTTATCTAGTCAGCTGAGAAGCCAGCATGGTTTCGAACACAGGATAGGCAGGCAGGCAGGCAGTCGGACAGCACGGATGAAGATTTCAAAACCAGACAGCCAGTCAGCCAGAATCAGAAAGGCAAGATTGTAATGTCTTCATCAACCTGAAACCAGTTTTTCAAATCTTCTGCTCCACTCACTCACTCAGCCAACCAGCCAGTAAATCAGTCAGCATGAAGAACAAGGTAGATTTGCATTTTATTCACAACAAATGTGAAGTCGGTCAGTCAGTCAGTCAGTCAGTGAGTTCCTCTATATAGGTGAGAAACTTGTACTGCGTGTGAGTCAGTCACGAGAAGCATTTCCAACAGCCAGTTAAAGACTTTTATCAGCTTTTGCCAACGAATGAAGAGCCGATCGGTCAACCGATAAATATGTAGGAGAAAATGGAGATGGATTGATCAAGCACGTGTCACTAAGGAGGTGATCGAATGACATTACGTGCATGCAGGCCATCACTCGAGTGGCAGGTGAATGGTAATCTACGAGTGGGTGGTGGTCAGTGGGAGGTTGATATGGAGGAAATGAGAGATTATGTTGAATCATGGACCCAACCAGGTGAAGAGGACAGCGGAAAATAGAGCGAAGTGAAAATGTGTTGCTGAAGTCCTGTTGTTCCAATCGGAACCCAAAGGAATAATAATTATCGGCTGGAGGTAGATTTATATCAATAAATACCAATCTAGTGGCTGTAGGGTTAACTGGAATGTGCGAGCTACTAAAGAGTCCCAAACTACAGTCAGGAGAGATATTCAGTGCTCCTTAATATTCAATTATTTCCTCTAAAAATGTCGGTTCGTGACTAAATCTAAAGTTGGCGAAAATTGGAATTGCCACTGGGACCCGATCCAATGTCCAGTGCATGAATTCTAACTTCTGCTAATTCACGCATGACATAGCGCGACCATTTCGCAATGTCTTCTTCGATGAGTGGGTGCGTACTGCTGAAGAGTTGGTCACAAACTAGACTGACGAAACAGCTGTTCAGTACTTCCAGCTGGTTTTCCAGTGGTTCTCTAACCAATGTGTTAACTCATGATGAAATCCTCCATGCAATCAATAATAATAATGAATGTGTAAAACAGTTGTACATTCACCCAAGAAAATTGGATGCAAATTTTTTCGCGTAAATACTTTTGGGTTCGATTCACTCGAAAATCTCAATCTTAATCTTGCTAGTCAGTCAAGAGAAGAAGAAGGGAGAAGGGTTAGACGTGTGGCTAGTCGAAGTGTTCAATGCTTCAGCTATCAATGCGCAACCCTTTGTCTGGCTAAATAGTTTTTAATCTTGTTCTCTTAACAGTGGAATTCAATTCAGTAGTATTCACAAAAAATGAATCTTCTCTTGTATGTTGTTGTTCTTTTGTTCTTTTACTTTTTGTTTTGTTTTGTAGGCCGGTAAATTTTTTAAAGAATAATAATAACATTAATACTCTGCTAACAAGTGAAGATGTAATTAAAATCATCCGATCTACATTTTCTAATGACAATCGAAAGATTAAAACAAACAACAACAAAAAAATAAAGAGGATTGTAACATTGAAAGCATTGATAATAGTCTAGACTAGACTAAGCGTAGGCTTATTAAGGTCATTATTTTTTGAAAAGAGAAGTAAAGTAAGATAAAATATAGATGAAGCAATAAGAATATGCACTTGATGAAGAAGAAAGAAAGTTGACACAAACTCTGGTTGATAACAATTATCCAGACAAGTTCATCAGGAGATATAAAGTAGTAGTCAGTGGAACACCAAGACTCACTCACTCTCCAACTCGCCCCTAAGAAAGACGTGTACATCAAGCTACCTACCCTATATGGGACAGACATCATAGCAGGCAGCTTGATAAGTAGACAAAGATTGAACGCTGCTGTGGTTAAAAAGACTTTTTATGCAGCTAATATCATAGTAATAATTGAGAATGTAAAGCCAATATATCCATCTAAGCCCTTCGAACATGCGAAGAATGATGTCACATCCCACTGTTGTATTTACCAATTTGAATGTACGTGTGGACACACATACATAGAGGTTTCAGAGCATATTCCTAAATGGCTCCAGAAAAAAATGGAATCTTCAGAACCTATTAATGGTGGGACAGGAGACCTAGCTCTTCTATTGCGAAACATATTATAGAGACAGGACATAAAATTGACGTTAACAGATCTTTTAAACCTATCTATAAAACGTGTTTGAGGGTGGATCCTAAAGTTTGTGGAAGCCCTAGCTACAATTCGTCATCACATTAAACCTTCCTTGGTAAACTTTGTTTTGATACCAGCCAGGGTAGATGTACTATTACCTCTGCTATTTGGTTTAGTGATCTTCATTGTTATTTTGACCTTCAATATGTCCTTTTAACTTGACCTAAGTCTATTTTCTCACCTCTTAACTCTTTATTCCTATGACAAGTCCGTGTGTGATCAGATTGTTCGAAATGTGTTGCGCAAATACACATTACACGCACGATTCAGACAAATTACGTCTTCCTTCTTATTGCTTTATCTAAATTCATAAAGGGAACTAATTGTTTTAAAAAATAAAATATCTCTAAGGAAATTATAAGTATTTATCTAATAGATTGGATGATTTGAGGAATTTTGATATTTACTCATATTCTGATGATGTGGTGTGAATAAAGAAGACTACTGTTGAATTAGTTGTATTCTCAAGGCTGGCTGGCTGGTTGATTTAATTGAGAAACTTTTGTCGTCCACCCCTGCTAGACAAAATCTCTTTTGGGCCAGGTTTTAGTATGAGACCGTTCGAAATAGTCAGCCAGCCAGCACAATCACTTCATTCGATATTGTGTAAACCAAAAGACCCATCCAACAGAAAAAGAAGATAAAATCAATAATCCATTTACATTTTCTATATTGGTTTTGTAAGGGTTAGATTTGTTTTTTAGAGTTGATCACGGATTGATATCAGTTAAGAACCATTAAAACCAGAAATTGAAAACTGTTTCATCCTAGTCTGAATCATCGTAGTACGCACCTACTGGGGTTCGAACCAGACCTTCCGGTTACAAGGGGGCGCAAATATGAACTGGTAGAAGTGAATTCATGGGATGACCATGAATCGGGTCCAGTGGCTGAATGACTACGAGCTCACCTTGTAACCGGAGGTCCTGGTTCACCATGGGTGCGTACTGCCGTGATTCCCAGACAGATGAAACAGCTGGCTGTCCAGTATCCACTGGTTTTCATGGTTTCAACTGATATCAATCCGTGATCAACTCGTAAAAATACCATTTACAAATTAAATTCCATGCATCAACTGCAATAAACATTACTCCGGTGAAAGTGCGCGTCCCCTTCGAATCCGAATGAATCGAAGAACACAAACTGACTGTACAAAGGCATGATATATTTCTTCCCTTCAGGACACCAATTAGATGATTGGGATAATGTAGAAATTTTCAACAGAGGTAAACACCAGACAGTAATGCAGTCAGGGAATTCCCAGAAGCCTGGTTGGTATTCAAGTGAATCAGCCAGCGATGGATTAACAAACATACTAATTGGTTACAGGATTTCAGCATGAGCTGACACATCAGTTAAAGAACCATTGGAAAACCACCACCCTTGGAGTACTCGACGGCCAACTGTTTAATCAACTTATAGTTGGGGAGTCTTCATCACTATGAACACATACACACACACCCCCACTGACAGGTTTAGAACCCACGACCTTTTGGTTACAAGGTTAGCAAGCTAGCTCGTAGACCATTCAGTCACTCACTGGGACCAGCTAATCCAATGGCCAGTCAGTGCATGAATTCTAACTTCTGCCAGCCAATTTACGACATAGCGCGACCGCTAGCCCTGTTGTACCCTACTGGTTACGACTTCCCACTAGAACCCACCCAGGTAACTATAGACGAAATTTACCAGGTGCCAATAAAAAGTAAATCATCACATAACAAGACAGTTCGAATTCCAAATGTCGATAAATAAAAATCATCAATACAGACGTGTAAATTATCAAAAAAGGGCGATCGATTCACGATGATGTATGCCAGGAGATGAAGAAGAATTCCGACGAGTTCATTTCATTCTAAGACCTACACCCTGAAATGGGATGTTGTCTAGAAGGACAGTTGGACGACGGAAGCTTCGCCAATTATTAAAACCATTAACCAGCTCAACTCAGTTGAACACAACTCATTCATTCATTCAATTTGGCATTAAACCGATTTCTACTCAGAAATCGGACCACTCTGACTGACCTTGAAGTGACCTTGACAGTGTATTTCTTGTCTATCCATCATTATTAATATTATTATTATTATCATT